GCTTGTCTTTTTTGAATTGCCTTTTTTTTTGTTAAAGGGATAGTTCACTCAACAAATTTCAATATTAAATTACATTAAAATCAAACAGTTTGTTTAAACGTGTTTGAATCACATTGTTAGTTTAGTATACAAGTGTAGTTCACCCAAAAATTACCATTCTGTCATCATTTACTTATATTACTCTCATGCTGTTCCAGACTTTTCTTTCTTCTGCAGAACGCAAAAGAAGATATTTTGGAGAATTTTTTCCCCCATACAATGAAAGTCTATGGGGTCCAAAACAACAACAAAAAATTGCTGAAATTTCTCGAATTTTGTGAATCAAAGAATCAAATCGTCATACAGATTTAGAACAGCATGAATGTGAGTAAATTATGACACAATTGAAATTTTTGGGTGAACTATCCTTTAAAGAGAAAACATTCACTTCAATCGTGTAGTTATATTAGTTTCCACAAATTGTTTGATTTTAATGTAGTTTAATATTTGATATGTTACATTATATCAATGAAGAGGTGAGATATACTGTAATGTAAGTGAGCGGCATTATGAATCAGTCTCATCTGAATTTGATATAAAATCATGCTATTACAAGCTGCCTAATAGAGATACAAAACACAAAGAAAAGACTAGCACGTGTACAGAGCCCAAAATACACTTCGTTAGTATAGATATACATCAACAATTGTTAGTGTTGATGGACTAACACAACGCCTTAACAACTGTGAAACTGTTAAACGGTGAAACCAGTCGGACTAGCTCTCTAACATCTTCCCCTGCAGACAAATATCACCACTTGTGTTTGTGAATTCATGTTTCTGCAAGACTGAGGATTCATTCCTGGTTGCAATGCTTTCCCCAAATAACTACATTTCAACATTACTCCATTAATCTGCTCATGATATAATGCACTTCTAATTTCAGAGTGGCTTTGACAGCTTGTTACAAGGTGTTGACATTAAAGGAATAGTTCACTTAAAAATGATAATTCTGTCATAATTTACTCACCATCAAGTTGTTTCAAACCTGTATGCATTTCTTTCTTCTGCTGAACACAAAGGAAGATATTTTGAAGAATGTCAGTAATCAAACAATTGATACCCCATTGACTTCCATAGTAGGAAAATAAATACTAAGTCAATACATCTTTGAGTAAATGATGACAGAATTTTCATTTTGAAGTGAACTATTCCTTTGAATTACTTGCATTCAACTACCGGTAATTGCCATGAAACCTTGCCAGACTGACGTCCCATTTTTTTTTTAATTAAAAAAAGCTATTTTTTTAAAAGTAACTTTATAGTCACCTTTGTCAAGTCCCAAAAAGGACAGAAAACTATAATAGTCCACAAATTTCCATAAAAGTAGTCCATTTATGCACTATATCAAGTCTTCCGATAACATGCAATGGATTTTTAGAAGGAACAGGATAGAATTTTAATTATTCAATGAAAATCTTCCAAACCACCGAAGCTCTAATCTAAACTGCAGTTATGTGGGAAACAGCTTTGTTAAAATGATTTCACTGAAGAAGAAAAAATACAGGTTTGCAATAACATGAAGGTGAGTAAATAAAGTTTTGGGGTGAACTACTATAAGCTATGTTCTGGCATGTAAAAAAAAACAAGTAACTGCTATACAAAACCAAACTGAGTGAGTAAACCTTCAAAAATGATTCATTCGGAAGTGCAAACAATGACTCAACAACATCATTGCTCTGACATGGGATCCGTTCCAGACCTGATGATGCCGAGCAATAAAAGCATCAGGTCAATGAGTTAATCAAGTGAACAGGAAATAGGTCAGTGCTGAATAGAAGCTGAAAATTTAAGAGCAATATATATGAAAAGCTGCTTAAGCTGGCTTAAAGGGGATATGTGTAAGAATTTTCATGTATTAATCGCTTTTTTATTGCCAATGTGTGAACAGCTTGTAACAAAACTTGAGACCTTCAAGACTTCCTGTTGACTATGAAAGCCTGTAGACAGATTTGAATGTGAAGGAAAATCAAAAGGAGGCTCCAGTCCAGAGAGCCTCTCTTCCGTTCAATGACACATGAAATGAATCCATGTACAATGTTCAGGATAATGTCAAAATGTAATCTGATCGCTATGATCAGATGCTTTCTTAACTGCTGCTTTCTCACCGCTGTCATTTTTGTTGCGTTTTTATTTTACTGAGAGGAACCACGCACGCATACAGCACACATTTTACCAAGCACGCAGCACATATTTAGGTATTCATCTAAACGTATAAATACAGTATATTCAACACCTCATGACCATCCAATTCAAACTGTTAGCCACATTTCCCAGATACACATCACATGCCTTGTTGCCGCCATGATCCAGGCCCTCAAGGTGGCTCTAACCAACAAAAGATAGACTATCATGATAGCAGGAGTTTTATTAGCCAACTCAATAAACAACCAGAGCGATATGCAAGTGTGTTGAGCACTCTCACTGATACGATCAGCTGAATGGCCGCTTAGGAAGTGGCATGTCTCACTTTAATCAGGTAAAGGAGCTATTGTAAGATCTTCCGGTGTGTTCCGCACATGTCACACACAAAGCACTGGGTTTAATACATATGGATATCAAATTAATATTAAATACAAAAAGATAAATAGAAAAAGCTGATTTCTGCTCATATACTGTACACTTTATCTGACCTCATATCATGCCCAGCATATCAAGATGAATAATTAGGATTATTTTTATTGTATGACTACAAAAGAAACCAGAATTTCCAGTTTCAGTTTCAGTAATCACCTCTAAACAATACCATAAAGAAGTCTATTTATATGAATTTAAGCTAAAAGCAAACAATACCACTAAAAAACATTTCATTCATTTTCTGTGTTTAAAGGATGAGTTCACTCAAAAATGAAAATTCTGTCATAATTTACTCGAGTTGTTTCAACCCTGTATGAATTTCTTTCTTCTGCTGAACACGAAGGAAATATTTTGAAAAATGTCGGTAACCACTAACCAGACAGGTGATGGACCCCATTGACTTCCATAGTAAGAAAAAAAAAAATACTACTGTCTGGTTACAGACATTCTTCAAAATATCTTCTTTTGTGTTCAGCAGAAAGAAATTCATACAGGTTTGAAACAACTTGAGTAAATGAGAACAGAATTTTCATTTTTAAGTGAACTTAAGACATCTTAACCAGTGGTTTTGAGTACAACACTTCTGTCCAACTGCCAATATTCTAATCAATACTGAAAAGAATATTTTCTTTTTGTTATCACTGTTCGAATGAGATCTCAGCCTCTGTTTGAATTGCAAAACAGCTGACATAAGGATCAAATACGACAGACACCAAAACAACATTTACCTCTGAAGCAGTCACCCATTGTTAAACCGTTGACACTCATTGCCGAATTGAAACCCTGAAGACTTCACAGCCATTCTGTCCTCTTATGCCCAGGATTAGACCGATGCAAAGCTCATTACATCATGAACGCCTATATCAGCACTTTCCACTCTCTAATATAATTAGACTCTAAAGCCCTGCTCTGATTCTGGGCCGTGTGAGGTAACTTAATGATCAAAAATATTTAAGTCACACTTTTACATTACACTACCTGTTAAATGTATAATAATGAGCACACAATGATAACGCCTACTTCATATGTAATTGCATGCAGCAAGTAAAACATGTTTCTGAATCAATATTGTGTTGATCCAGGAACAAAATTCCTGTTTGAAACTTTAGTCCTATATCTCTAAACCTACCCATAAGTTATCCTCAAATTAGAGGGAAATGATAGGCGAATAACACTGATGTAAGCACCTAACCCTGGTTGTAAGTCTAAACTTGACATAAACTATAAACTGTAAACTTGTCCCTCAAATCTGATTGGTTGATTAGAACTTTGTTCCAGGTTGAACAAAGATGTTGATTCAGGAACATGTTGTCCTTGGTGTACAGTAATCACTCACATTGATTCACAATTCATTCATATTATTTAATACAACAATAAATACACTGCATATAAACTCTTTAATGTAAGAAAAGAATATTGTACACCCTGATTAAAGAATTTGACAGAAGTCACAGTTTGTATAAGCAAAAACACACCATTCACACTTGTGAGCCTTTTCAGAAACACACTTGTCATGAATGGAATTTCAATTTAAGTATGAAAAATCAAGTAGTTGAAACTTATAAATAAAACATAGCCTATATAAAAGTAAGCCTTCTTTGAATTTCAGTTGTATAGTAAAATTCCATCAAATGTAATTGAATAATCCTTACATATTATTCATATTATGAATTAAGAGTTTTAAATGAGTAAAAAAATAAAGCTTAATAAAACAATTTTATAAATCTTAATGAAACAAGTGAATGGACCTGATGATGTGATTTGTATACTCTCAAATAAAACAAAAACAAATGAAAATATGTTTACAATTATGAATACGAATCACATTAACTAAATGGTCCATTCCCTTGTTCCATTAAGATTTATACACATTTTTTTATTAGGCTCAAGTTTTTTTTTTACTTATTTAAAATCCTTAATTCATAATATAAATAATAGGATTATTAAAGGATTATTCAATTCAATTTAATGGAATTTTACTATACAATTGAAATACGTACATCTTAAAAAATCGCAAAATATTTTGTCTATCTATCTATCTATCTATCTATCTGAATAAAAACAGTTAACTCAGATGCTATGAAGCACACTGCATGCTAACTAACTAATAACTAACTATATCAATAGTAAAGTTTATTAAATATGAAATATTTCAAATAAGTAGATAAAATAGTATTGCAGAAGTAAATATTCAGTCAAATCATTCATCAGAACATTTTTTACCATATATAAATATACTCTCTTGCATTATAAACCATGTTGGGTACTTACGCTAGCATGCAATCATCTTTTCTTATTCGAATGTTAATTCTATTCAGTCAAGAGCATTCGATACAACGTCATCGAGATCTCAAACAGCAGAAAAGTAGCAGCTCTAGCGCTTACCTGCTGTTCATAGAGCTCCTATAATCCCTCTTTAATGATCGTGCTATCAGGATGGCTACATTGAACTGGTTGATTTCTGCTTTTCTTGCTTATGTAACAGCCCGCTCGTAAAGCTTAGATGATGTCTTGAGCAGACGTGTGTTCCTACAGCCCTCAGGTAAGTCAAATGCCTCCGGGGCCGGGCGATGGGCATCTCCTGTCTGACAGGTCTGTCTGTCAGTGGGCGTGGTCTGTGTCGCTCAGCCCCTCCCACACAAACTCCTCCCCCTTCGCGCTCTGCACTGAGAGTTAGATAGATAGACAGATAGATAGATAGACAGATAGATAGATAGATAGATAGATAGATAGATAGATAGATAGATAGATAGATAGATAGATAGATAGATAGATAGATAGATAGATAGATAGATAGATAGATAGATAGATAGATAGATAGATAGATAGATAGAAAGATAGATAGATAGTACCTTAAATGTATGATAGCCTACAGCTGGCAGTTATTTATGACAATCCGGTATGACTCACTCAAACTGCTCGCACTTGCAGTCCAAACACATGACTGTACATATTCTGCTCTTGCTCAAACACTGTAAAACCTGTTGAGATAAAAGCTACACATCATAGGCTACTCTTGAGTAGCCTATACTCTGTTTGCCGCTCAGTGCGTCTCAATGAGATGTTAATAAATTGACGGATTACTAGGATACAATGGAACTTCCCCTATTAGTGACATTGCTGTGTTCTAATGGCCATGGAAAAACACAGCATCAGGACGAGGAATGGTATCATGACCAATAAAACATTTAGTATCAAACGATGCGTTTGTTAAAATTCTTCTGATCTGGGCCAATTCTGTAAAAGCAAGGATGACTAAGACATTTTTAATTGCTTTCTAATTTTTGCAACAAGGAGATTAGACTGCTCTGATTATACCAACTTCAACTGAAAATGGACAGCTAAAGAAATGAGTGTCTATAGAAAGAGAGAAATGTTTGAAGTATTTATCAACTCTAGAGATTATTGGGACAGTGATAATAACAGGGTTCACCAAATGTGATTTTAAAATCTCAAGTAAATATTGTAGGCATGATGCTTGAGAACTCACTGTCATCACAGCATTCTCACAGTATTTTACAGGTTTTATTTCCGTCACCAATGACCTACAGCCTAGTAAAGGTTTTAATGGCATTTAAGTACAGACTGAGGTTATTGCAGACTGTTATGCCATAAAGAATGCAATTAAATCAAAGGAGGTTACAGGTGCGCACAGAACAAATAACTCTGAAATATGACATGTTTCTTTCACCAGAGACACAATAGTTCAATCAGGTTTTACAATGTTTCACCATGACAACTAAACTTTCTATAACAATTTCCAAATTTAAAATAAACCACACGCAAAATAAAAATACAAAATTTGAATCAGTTAACAACAAAACAAATTGTATCTGCAAATAAATATTGTAGTCATGTGCTATACCTTTCTCAGAACAAATTTCCCTTTTCTATTAATCCCCCCCCCCCCCCCCCCCCCCCCCCCCAATTATTTTTAACAAACCGGTGCAGTGATTTTTAGAGAATGGAGTCAGTTTTCTCTCAAATTCAGATATTTCAGAGTAATCACATATATTCCTAGCAGAGTAATAACATATTTCACCAAATTAGCCATAAATAAGTATTTGTAAGTCTATTTATAGGAAAAAGTTTGCTTGTCTTTAAGATAAATATCCCACTTGTTTTGATATTTTGTCACTGTATGTAATGACATACCTTTTGTTTTGTTTTATTTCAAACTTGTATCAATTTTTAATTAAGTTTGAACATTTAACTGAATGACTTATGCAATGCATAATACAATAAACATATATAATATAAAGGAGGAAAGCAAGTGTGGCTCACGGAGTTGGATGAGAAAAAGTAACCAATTACCTCCTCCTCTTTTTCTTTTTTTTTTAAGTAAAAAAGAAAACCTGGCATCAAATGTCTCCTTAATAATAATAATAATAAGATTAATAATAATTATTATTATAAACAAAAAAACAGATAAATAAATAAATGTCCATTTACATCTTCAAGTGTACATTTTACCGCCATCATGTTGATATCCCCAGTGAACCTAAAGACATTGGACTGTGATGTCATATGATCATGTGACTGCTTACATGCACAACTAGAAAAAATAATTGATTAAATAGGAATTTAATATGCTCTTATCCATGTTGATTTTCATGCAATAAAAGCTCTTAACAGCATCTTCAGTCTTTATTTAAATTTTAGTGACTGTTTATTAATGCAGTAGGTAATTCCTAAAATTCAATTTCCATAAAAAATAATCCAATTAAGACATTTGCCAATGTCTCATCTCTTGAATAAAGTGGCATTTCTGTAATTATAATTAATTATGAGATTGCTTCTGCTAGGCCGAGATAATAGCATAATTCTGATGATCTCCAATGAATTTTATCCTGAGTCACAGAGGTCCACCATTTAGTATATTTGTCGTGGTATAAGTGGATGAGTAAACAAGCAGTAAAATTAGAGGTGATAAAAGGCTTTTGTCCAGATGCATGTCTAGAAATATATATAAAAAAAAACCACAAATTCACCCAGAGGTAATCAGAATGAACTATGTGGGAACATGATGTATAAAATAATTATGTCTTCAACATTAATCAGCATCATTTAAGATTTTTTCCCCAGATTTAGATGAATCACTTTAATCGTGTCAAAATGTTTTTCATTAGGTAGTACATTACTGCACTCGTTAATGCAAATATCTAATCAGCCAATCACATGACAGCAATGCATTAAGGCATGTAGACATGGTCAAGACGATCTGCTGAAGGTCAAACTGAGCATCAGAATGGGGAAGAAAGGTGATTTAAGTGACTTTAAACGTGGCGTGGTTGTTGGGCTGGTCTGAGTATTTCAGAAACTGCTGATCTACTGGGATTTTCTCACACTCTTTATCTTTCGCACAACCAAGGGAGTAAATAATGAATAATGATGTCTGATTAATGGTCAAATGTTCTGTCTTGTTGCAAAGTACTAATGCTAGTTCACCCATTAAAATTGTATTTAATTGCCCTCATGTTGTTCAAACCTTTTTTTTTAACAATACACAAATGGATCATTTTTGAAGAACAGGTAATTTTTCATGCATTTACAATAAAAAAAAAGTTTTAAGTTTTCAAACTTAAAAAAGGACACCATAAACATATCATATGACTGAAATATATGTTTGGAACAACATGAAGGAGAATAATGTAATTATGTAATAATGTAACTATTCCTTTAAGGTCAAATTCAAGTCAATGATGAACTAAAATGGTTATATTTAAATGTAACAGGATCAAAGCACCAACCCAAAGCACCTGTTATAAAACTAAAACTTGACTTTTTCAAATTACCTTTTGAATTTTTCCATGGCACATGGTCAGGTAGCATGATACTGACTCAAGCCACATTTCCCCCAGCAGACAGAAGGAAATCCTGCATGGCTCAAAGATCAAAAGCTCAAAAATGACCTCTGCAAATGTGTTTCTATGGTCAGCTGAGAGACTGTGCCAGTTAATGGGTAGAGAGAAGGGGCTCTGAAAACATTCAGAAGTCATAAAATAAAGTCATAAAGTGAAGTCATAAGTGAAGTTTCCTTTTTGGTGGTGTAAAGGTCAGTATTTATTCATTTATTCATGTAATGTAAACTTGCATGGATTTTATTAGACACGGACCATGCTGATGAGTTTTACTGGCCTGCTAGAGAATAAGACAGCTGGTTTTTAATGACATGCTATAATACACATGCACACACAGACAGGTGCATGCACATGCAAAAACACACATAGACAAATGTTAAAGAATTTGGACAATCCCAATGTTATGATTTCCCGTGTATACTGTGCGGTTATAGCCTGGTTAAAACTAGACCATTCTCAGTTGTAACTGAGTTATGGTCTGGCAAAGCGTCATAGACAAATCATTTCCAGAGGGGCGTCGCCAACGGACGTCGCGGATAGACCTAAAACCGATCAGAGCGATGAAGGAGATGACGTATGCAGAGCGGTGGAGAAATATATCCCATGTTGTTCTTTGCTCGGTTTTTAACAAAAAGGAAACATTCAAATCGCTTAAAACAGACGCGATAGCTGATTCGAACGAGTGATGTTCGACGGCGGCATCCATCTTTGTAATGTAGGCTACAAAATCTGGTTCAAAATCCCAGCGCTGTCGTCATCGTGTAAAGCCCGCCCCAACGTTTCTGATTGGTGCCTCGATTTCGACGGATTGGAAATGGGCTTGAATGACCTTATTGCCAGACTAACTTTCAGAGCAAATCTAAATTTGCCGGAAGTTGTCTGGGTTTTCCCAGGCTAGTGCGGTTATTGAATTGACCTTGAATTCACTTGTGCCCTTGAGTAAAGCACTTAAAGGTCACCTCAGGGAGAGTGTGCCTTAGTGTACTGTAAGTAGTAGGCTATGTATAGGCCTAGATAAAAAAGTGAATGACAAATGACATGCAAAGAGAAACCCAGAAACAGGCTCCAGTACTACAGTTAAGTTCCATGGCTCCTTTGTGGCACAATCTTTTTAAACATATAAAATGTTTATCTCATAATTGCAAATACATTATTTTAATTTGGGATCTCAACTTTATTAGTAATATTTTTTCATTTAGGCCTACATTTTCTTTGTTATTTTCTTTGTTTTAAATAATTTCATTAGCCTGGATGCCAGCCCGAACCCCGCCCACAACATTTTTTGATCGGGAAGTTCGGTCTGGACTCGCTCCATTGAGGAGTAATTATGATCGGTTCAGAAATCGTCGGGCCAATCAAATTGCCAGGGCGGGCTTTATACGATGATGGACAGATGATCTGCAGGGACGTAATCCTCACGTTATCAAAGAGCGCTTGGGTTGAACTGGTTTCCCTCACAGATGACTGCCGCTAGAGAACTGAGATGTAGAGATTCCGCTATCGCGTCCGTTGTAAAAGAAATCGACAGCGCATTCATTTTAAAAGACGAACATAGAACTGCAATCAAGGCATTTGTCGATCGGAAAGATGTGTTTGCCGTCCTTCCTATGGCATTCGGCAAAAGTTTAATTTATCAGCTGGCTCCGATGGTAACTAAGAAGATGGGACGCAATGAAAACCCTGTGGTCGTTGTGGTTTCTCCTTTG